GTCCATCCCTTTATATTGCTTAGTAGTATCGCATTGTGGGGATATACAAGGGCACTGCAAAAAAAAAAATTTCGTGGAAAATAAAAGACAAGATAATTTATATGCAAAAATATTTGAAATACATGCATGTAAAGATCCACAAAAAGTTCATGGAAATTTGCGTATGAAAAAAACTATTCAAGGATTTCAGTTGCTTTTTTGACACCAAAAAGCTTATCTTGTAATCCCACTTTTCATGAATTTTTAAGCAGTATGTTCCTTTGCAGGTGGTCATTTTCTACTTTAGCAGCGTTTGGGTTGTTGTTTCTTGTTCTTGGTAGTTTTTCTGTGTGAACAGACATTTTCATTTATGAGTGAAACTGCTGGGTCATTCCCTGAGTGTTTATTTAACTGTGTAAGAAACTGCTAAGCTGTTTTTTAAAATTCCTAAATCGTTTTGCATTTCCATCAGCAATGCTTGAGTTTCAGTTGTTTCTTAGGCTTGTTAGCATTACGATTTTTGAACTTGAACCATTCTAAAAGATGAGTAGTAATGGCTCCTCCTTCTAATTTGCATTTCCTCAGATGACTAATGTGGCTGAGTATTTTTTTTTCACCCTTTGGTGACATTTGTTCAGATCTTTCTGCTAACTTCCTTATTGTACTTTTAAAAATTATTATATGAGTCTCTTAAATATTACGAATGTTAAGTTCTGTGTCAGAATCATGGTTTGCAGATGTCTCCTTATGAACTGCTTGCAGTTTCTCTGAATAAGCTTTATTGAGGCATAGCACAGGGACTGCTGTGTCGGGTGCAGTCTGGCCTACGGAACTCGTGTGTCTGCCACGCTCAGGAATCTCCTGTCCTCATGAGGGAGTCCTTCCTGCCTGTCCCCAGGACACCACTGCTTTTTTTCCGTTAGTTTCTTTTCAGGACAAGTCAGTTTGCATTTTGTAGAATTTTATAGAAATAAGCTGTATGTGTTCTTTGGCTTGCTTGCTTTCACTCAACACAATTATTTTGAGCTTCATTAAAGTTGCTGCGTGTTGCTTGCTTTTTGCTGAGTAGTATTCTGTTGTGTGCAGAGTGTGTTTCATGTGCTGATTTTAGACTATTAGAAATAGTCACTTGGGCATTTGCATAGAAATAATTTTAGAAATTTCTGTTGAATTAAATGGTAAGGGTCACTTCCGCGTGCTGTTTTGCAGAATGATTCTAGCATTACGTGTTCATCTGCAGTGTTTGAGGGTTCTAGATGATCTGTGTTAGAACCAGCACTGACATCATCAGTCGTTCAGTGTTAGCTTTACTAGGTGTGTGCTAGCCTGTTAGCGTTTCGTGCTTGCCTCTCCCTGCAGTGGTGCTGAGTGCTCGCCTCTCCCTGCAGTGGTGCTGAGTGCTCGCCTCTCCCTGCAGTGGTGCTGAGTGCTCACCTCTCCCTGGAATGGTGCTGGGTGCTCGCCTCTCCCTGGAATGGTGCTGAGTGCTCGCCTCTCCCTGGAATGGTGCTGAGTGCTCGCCTCTCCCTGCAGTGGTGCTGAGTGCTCGCCTCTCCCTGCAGTGGTGCTGAGTGCTCGCCTCTCCCTGCAGTGGTGCTGAGTGCTCGCCTCTCCCTGCAGTGGTGCTGAGTGCTCGCCTCTCCCTGGAATGGTGCTGAGTGCTCGCCTCTCCCTGGAATGGTGCTGAGTGCTTGCCTCTCCCTGCAGTGGTGCTGAGTGCTCGCCTCTCCCTGGAATGGTGCTGAGTGCTCGCCTCTCCCTGCAGTGGTGCTGAGTGCTCGCCTCTCCCTGGAATGGTGCTGAGTGCTCGCCTCTCCCTGGAATGGTGCTGAGTGCTCGCCTCTCCCTGCAGTGGTGCTGAGTGCTCGCCTCTCCCTGCAGTGGTGCTGAGTGCTCGCCTCTCCCTGCAGTGGTGCTGAGTGCTCGCCCTGTGCTTAACTGAAGCTGGGTGTGCTTTTTGGTGAAAGGTCTGTGCATTTTTTTCGTGTACCTTTTAGGTTGGTTTGTTTTTCCTCTGTTCAGTTTTGGGTGTATATTTTGAATATTTTCAGATAGGTGATTCATAATTATTTCCTTCCAGTTAATGCAGAAGTTGTAATTTTTGTTATAAGGTTGAATTTCACTTTTGTTGTACAATGTAAAGTTGCAGATATTTCCCCTTTATCTTCTAGGCATTTTGTAACTTTGATATTCTTGTTCAGGGTGTGAGCCATCATCAGTTGATTTTTGTGTGACACCAGTTGTGGATTGTCTAATACCATCAGTATGTTCTAAGTTACACCTGAGTGACAGTCACACATTCTGAAAAGCTAATTTTTTTGTTCTAATTTAAGATCTATATAGTTTTTGGTTTTTCCTTTGGATTTCTCTGACTCTTGGGTTATCCAGCAGTGTTACTCACTTTCCAAATATTTGGAAATTTTTCCAGATAGCCTTAAATTATTGATTGTTTGATTGGCATCACTTGTGGAAAGAGAACATGCTTTTTAAATTTTTTGTTTCATTTTAAACATTGTTTACATAGTTGAGAGGGATGCATACCCATGTAGGTCTCTGAATAAGGTGGGGAGGGTGGAGGAATAGAAGAAGGTGTCTAGGAGAAATGTCTATACTTTGTTTGTTTGCAGGGGGTTAAGGGGAGGGAGCTACTCCTTGCTGTCAGACTAGAAGACACCCAGAGATGGGGCAGGAGTGTTCCAGGGCTGTTGCTTGCATGGTTGTGACTCGTTGCACCAGGGTTGAGAAAATATTTCCAGGATCTGTTGGGTGACCAGGTCCAGTCTAGTGCACCCCTAGGCCTGGAAACATGTTGCAAAGTGTGGCCAGCAGGACCAAGCTGTTCTGTTTTCCATCCTCTGATGAGGCAGTTGATGTGCCCTGCTACCCTAGATGAGCTGGCTGTCATGTCCCCTTTGTGCCTCTAGGCGTGTAGTCCACTATACAGCCATCGGTCACTAAGGAGGCCCAGCCCTGATCCTCATGCTCACCAGGTGGAGCTGCAGCCCAGCAAGGGAGTGCCGACAGTTCCCCTGCCAGGCGTGTTCCCAGCCCCAGATCGTGGCACCTGACATGACTTGCATCCAACACTTGCCAGCCGGTGCTGCAGCCTAGCCTGGCTGGCTCTCATGCATGCCAGCGGGTGTGACAGCCTAGCCCAGCCAGGCCTGCCCCCATTCTTCCCAGCCCACCAGTCCTAGCTCTCATACTGTACTCACCAGTGGAAGCAGCAGCCCAGCAAGGGAGGCCCCAAAGTTCACCTAATAGGTCTGCTCCCAGCCGTGGGTCTTGTGTGTGCCAACAGGTGTGGCCCAGTCTGAGATGGCCTGTCCCCAGTCTCAGCATTTACCAGCAGGTACTACTCCGTCCTGGCCCATCTCCAACCCTCATGTGAATGGTGGGTATTGTGGATCAACCTGGCCTGCACCCTGTCAGGGCTCTCACTCATGTCTTTGTGTATTGTGGACTGCCCAGCCCAGCCTGGCCTTGGCTGTAGCCAGTTAGGCTGCTCCCCAAGTTCCCTTACCAGATCTCATATGTGCTGCAAGGTGCTGCGGCCTAACCTGATATGGCCTGCCCCTAGTCCTGGCAGTCACCAGCAGGTACTGTGGCCTAGCCTAACTGGCCGCCTGCATGCATACCAGCCTTCACTGATGGATGCTAGAGCCTATCCCAGCCTGACTCACCTCCAGATCTGGCTCTTATGTAAACCGCCAGGTGCCGCGGTGTAACCCAGTCTTTCACAACACTGGCTCTCCCAAGTGCCAGAGGGTGCTGGGCCACATGATCTGGCCTGCCTTCAGACCTTACCCATATCCTTGCTGGCAGGTACTGTAATCTTGTTCAGCCTAGTCCACCCCTGGCACCATTTCTCACATCCATGAGCAGGAGCTGCAGCTTGGCATTGGCGTTCCTAAATGCCCTTGCCAGGTGTGCTCCCAGCCCAGATATTACACATGCTGTATGTGGAGTGTTCTGGAAATGTCAGATGGAATGGTTAATAGTGTTTATCAGACCTGATGTATCTTCCCTGATTTTCTGTCTGCTTGTTCTGTCATTTAACAAAAGGGGGCTTATTGGAATCTTCAACAATAATTGTAGATTTGTCTATTTCAACTTGCTTGACGTATTTTCTTAAAAGTATTTTTGGTTTTAGATTAGTACATGTACATTTTGGTGAGGTGCAGTGTAGTGTTTCAACACACATCTGTATAAGCCAATAAAATAATTAGTCTTTCCTTTATGTATTGTTGAAGTTTTGTTCATCTATACATGCTTAGGAACCATAATTTCTTGATCACATGATGCTTTTATTAACATGAAGTGACTTATTTTTTGGTATAAATCTTCCTTTGTTTGTTATTACTATAGCTGTCCAGCATTCTTTTTGAGTAATATCTTTTTTCCTACTCTTTTAACCGATCTGTGTCTTTAAAGTGGCTTTTTTTGTTGTTTTTTGTTTGTTTGTTTGCTTGCTTGTTTTGGGTTTTTTTTGGTAAGTACTGTGTACTTGGATTGCTCTTTCTTAGTAGTGTATCAGCCCCTGTATTTTACAACCATGTGTTTTGTGTATTTGAAAGTCAGAGTCTGGGCCTGACGCAATTGCCTAGCAGGTAAAAGTCCTCGCCTTGAAAGCCCCAGGATTCCATAGGGGCACCGGTTCTAATCCCGGCTGCTCCACTTCCCATCCAGCTCCCTGCCTGTGGCCTGAGAAAGCAGTCAGGTACGGCCCAAAGCCTTAGGACCCTGCACCCATGTGGGAGACTTGGAGAAAGTTCCTGGCTCCTGGCTTCAGATGGGCACAGCACCGGCCGTTGCACTCACTTGGGGAGTGAATCACCCAGACAGAAAATCTTCCTCTCTGTCTCTCCTCCCCTTTGTATATCTGACTTTCCTCCAGGTCTCCCACGCAGGTGCAGGGTCCCAAGGCTTTGGGCCGTCCTCAACTGTTTTCCCAGGGCACAAGTAGGGAGCTGGATGGGAAGTGGAGCTGCTGGGATTAGAACCAGCACCCCTACGGGATCCCAGTGCTTTCAAGGTGAGGACTTTAGCCGCTAGGCCACACTGCCGGGCCCGGAGCATTAGCTTTTAAAGGCAGTGAAATAAGAAGAGAATTGATTATCGCACTTGTTACCATTTCCAGTTCTCTCATTTTAAGTTCATTCTGTTTTGTTTCACATTACCGATCTGAGATTTCCAATGTTTGTTTATCTTGGCTAGAAAAAGGGCCAGTATTGTGTTTTTAAACTCTTATTTATACATGTACTGTTTGGGGATTTCTGATTTGGAAAATGTGAAAATTAAATATATCTGGAGATCTTAATATCCAGAGATGCCTTCATTTCATGCTTTTTGATTTTCCTCAAAGATTGTTCTGTCACATGTTTTCAAAATACTTTTCATCTTTTAAAGATTTATATAAATGAATGAAATGTATTCTTTGATGTATCAAAATTTACTGTTGGATTTACTCAGTGTCTCATAGATAACTGGTTTGGTGACCTCTCAATTTCTACACGCGAAGCTGACGTGTCCTTAGTGCTGTGGTCTAGGCCCCCTGTGTGCTGGCCTCCCATGGTCATGTCACTGAGACAGTGCTCTGGGTATGTTCTTACCAGCTGATTAGGTTATCTTGATAAATTCAAATTTCTAGTTAGAAAGGAACACTTGTTTATTTTACAAATGAGTGTGTCCGTTGCTTTAAGATTCCTTCTCAGCAGTCAGCTTCAAATAATTGGGTCATACATGGTTTAAATGAAGTTAGCTTGTAAGTCTGGTTTTAACAAGTAGGTATTCCCTTCTTAGGAAAAATATGCTGGTGAAGTGCTTAGAGATGCTTCTCAGCTTAGCATGGGGTTATGTTGTAACAAACCGTTACAGATTGAGATTGTATTAGCGCATCGCATGCACTGCACATCTACGCTGTGGCTGAGATGTACTTCATGGCGGTATGGCCGACACTATGCCAAGCCCAGAGGAAGATTCAGAATCGTAGTGTGATTTCTACTGAGTGTTGCTTTTGCAGTATTCTAAAGTTGAAAATTAGTATGCATTGAACCGTTTGAAGTTGGGGGCTGTCTGTATTTTAAAACATGACATTTGAATGAGTATAGCTTACAGTTTTTAAAAGAGTTCTTTGTATGTTTGCTGGAAAATAGCAAAATTTACCCATGCTTTTGTCAGGCAGGAATGGCGAGTCAGTGGAAACAATAAACTGGGTTGTGGGGACAGCCATCACGTGTTGTGTGGGACATCGCTGCCACTTCCCTGTCGGTGTGGGCTATTAGTGTGTTGTCTGGGAGGAGATGGAGTGGAGGCTGCCCTGAGAAACGCTTAAGAGACAGTTCTGAAAATGATCTCAACTGTGTATAGCAGATGGAGAATCATTTTTTAACTCTGGAAATTGGTTAGATTTGTTAAGAACACTGGTTCAGTGGTGTGGACGCTGTTCAGACTGGAACAGCCTGGAATACGCCCATCTCTTGTTCCTCAGCAGGGCGGGTGCTCACCTCTCCCTTCCTGCCTCCAGCCCCAAACACTGGGACTCCTCACTCAGCCTGGTCCCCATTCACGGCACAGCCACCATCCCGTGCGTGTTGCCACTGGACGTATGGGAGCCTCAGCAGCTCCATACCAGCAGGTTATGTGAGGCTGAGGGAGGTGGACCAGTAATATTGTATTTTTTTTTTTGGTAAAAAGTACAGCTAATCATGTTAGACAAAAGAACCAACATCAGAAATTATATTGACAGACCTTTACTTGATAATTATTTGCTGTTTTCCAAGAAAGAAAATTTTATGCATTCTCTGATTTTTGATGAACTAGGTATCTGTTATAGAAACTTAGCAATTTGGGATTAGAAACCAGAATACAGAGGAGTTAATAGAACCAAATGGAGTTTCTTTGGAAAATTTAGTAAAATGGAAGATATACCAGCAAGTCTATCCTAGTAACAAAGGAAGAAAGCACAAATATACAGGATTTGGGATCGGAAGATGATGTAACTGGAAATTTGGATAAGGTTTAAAAGTTGAGAAGTGTACAAAGTAAAACTTACAAATTCATCTAAGTTGAAATGGACTTTTTAATGTGCTAACATTTAATTTGGGAAAAGAGCTAACCTTTTGTTTATTAGGGTTAAGTAGCTTGTGAGATCACATGTACTAACAAGTGTCAGCAAAGTCGGTAGGCCAAGCTCTGGGCTCTACTGACTCTAATGCAGAAGCAGAAAGCCTGGAAATGAGAAAAAAATACTGAGTAAGTTAAAGGTGATTGATGCTCTGAAAAGAAATGTTCTACAGCTTAGAAAAACGTAGAAACGAGTCTGATTTATCTGGTAACAAAGATTATGTCAGGATTTAAATGTAGGCTAGACTCAGTTGTGAATGTGAGTACAAAATTAGCAAATCTGTTCTGCAGTGCAGCAGAGTGTGTATTTTACTATGTCACGGCTCTCTTGAAAAGTAGGCGACAGTGGATCCTCTGTGATTCATTTAGTCCAGATCAGTCATTGCAGTTGATAAGAGAGCAGTATGCTAGAGGTTGAAGAAATGCTTCCTAGCGTATTTTATTGTAAGACGAGACTGAGCATGGTGGCAGAGTGAGTTAAGCTTCTGCTTATAACTTGTGCGTCCCTTTGTGGAATGTTTTTCATCGCTCTTCCTCTCCTGATCCAATTTACTGCTAATGGTCCGGTGAGGCAGAAGGTCATGGCGCAGACACATGGGTTCCTGCCACCCTGTGTGGGAGTTCCTGGCTCCTGGTTTTGGCTTGGCCCAGCACCTTCTGTTACACACAGTTGGGTCTGAAGATACTCCCTCTCTGTCAAAGTCTGTATTTTTCGGTGTAATCACGTGTGACTCCACCTTTCGAGTCAATAACATAAATTTAAATCCAAAAAAAGCAAATATTTTTTTTCTCTGTGCAAAAAATTTTTTTTTCTGTGGTGAATTTCTAGAGTCCTTCCCGTGAGATGAGGTTTTGAAACATGTTATAGAAATTTCATAAATTGATTGGAGAGCAAGACTATTAGCACATACAGTTGCTCTGTTGTTCAGGTTTCCAGAAGAACCTGGCCTTACTGGGCCCTGCGCAAAACCGGCAGCTGAGAATGTTACCCAGGTCTCCCACCAGAATAGGAAGAATTGAATTGCTTGAACCATCACTGCTGATGTCCCAGGGTTTCTGTTGCCAGGAAACTGGAGAAAGGACTGGAAACCAGTTGCTCACACACCCTGATGTAGGGTGTGGAACCTTAACCACTGGGCCGGTCTTTTTTTTTTTTTAAATTCAACTAAATTTTTTTAAATCTAAATTTCAATGTCTGTTACAAAGGTTTAGCCCTGCGTGGCGGTCAGCAGAGCAGGTGGCAGGATGGCAGCACACGCTGCAAGGCTGGACTTGCTGTCCCGTGATGTTCCTTGAGGTCAGATGTTGCTTGTGGCAAGCCTAGCTGGGGGGGATCCCTTAGAGCCCTGCGAGCCCTGCCCTCCTTTGCATCAGACTGCTTGTAAATGTCCCTGCAGAGCAGCAGATGCTGCTGGTTCCTCCGTTCAGACATGTGTGAAGTTCCTTGCTCATGGAGTCTGAGCTTGCCCCAGCTGTGGCAGTCATCTGGGGAATAAAACAGCAAATGGAAGAAACACCCCTCCCCCACAAGCCACCATCGCTGTTGGTCCGTGTGTCATTCTGCCTTTACAATAATTAGATCTTCTAATTTGTTTTTAAGAAACAAAGGAAGAGTCCCTTCCATGTTGTTGGCATAACATGAATGGCTTTTTAAATTAAGCAAGGAAATTTGATTCTGAAAGAAATCACAAGAAATGCATGCTAAGATGTGAGTGTGTATGTATATGTTTATGGTATTTTAGTTTATATGATCAAAATACTGTCAGTGACTTGGTTGTCTATTAAAAGGTAACTTAAAATATTGTGTTAAAGAATGATGAGCTATAAGTTATGTATAGTATCAGCATGTAAGGAACTTGTGTCTGTGTAGGGTGTGAGTATTGAATGTGAGAGTAGAAGAGCTAGAACTTTTTTTCCCCTCTCCATTGTTTGTTTATTTGAAAGGTGGAGTAAGAGGAGGAGGAAGATCTTCTGTCTACTGGTTTACTCTGCAAATGGTCCTGATGGTCAAGGCCGGGCCAAGCTGAAGCAAGAAGCTTGGCACATTACCATAAAGCTGGACTGGCAGTGGAAGAGTTGGTACTTGAGCCCCAAGCCCTTAGGGGAGATGGTGTCACTGGCAGCAAATTACCCCGCGCGCTGGCCTCACCCAAGGGGAGTGGGTTTTTCCTAATACAAGACTAATGATAGCTTTGCCTTGAGTTTCATTGCCATTCCTTTGTTAGATAGTCAGCATTTCTCTGTTTGTCTGCTTTTAAGATTTTGCTTTTTCTGATTTCCTGAAATTTTACTGTAATACGTGTAATGTATATTTCTTCTTAGTCTTTTCTATATTATGTAGGTCTTTAATCACTTCTGGAAAATTCATCACTATCTCCTTAAATCTCTTACTATATTCTACTGATCAGGACTCAGCAGACATGTAGTAAATGTAGCTTAGACACCATTAGCATCTCTTGCTTAGCATCAGGCCCAAATCTGCCTCCATGCTTTCTTTATGCTTTTGCTGCATTTGGTATCTGATGGATTTACTGTGTTCGGTCATTTATTTCCATATGTGTTCACCGATCTCTACTGTTCAGCCAGCAGGGGACCCTTCATTGAGACTTTGTTCAGGAAGAACATGTGTTGGCTTTGGGAGAACTTTGGGGTTATGTTGACCTGAGACTGTTGAACTGTCCTGGGGTTCTTGCCTTACCAGCGAGACTCCTGGGGAAAGCTTACTTCCACATTAAAGATCACAGTATTTCTACCTTGAAGCAGTTCGTAGATGATTAAAATATATTACATGTTTTAATTTAGCCCAGCCCCCCCCAAAAAAAGATGGAAACTTTAGAATTATGGATAAAACAAAATGGTTAGTGTTTCCACTTACTGTAAGTTGGCATATAGAATTGGATAGGAAAATTGTCTAAAAGATAACTCAGTTTTCAAATTTTGAGGAAGAAAGGAGGAGGGTTCTAGCAATTAGTGATTTGTGTGCAGCGATACTCAGCTTGGACTTCTTTTAAAAAGTTAAATTGTTATTTTTAACTAGATAAATGTATTACCTAAAATACAGTATTAAATAATATGTGAAGTCACAATTTTTTTTTCACAAATCATTTTTACCCACTACTTGTGAAATTAAGAAGCCATTTGTACAGTTTCAACTCTCTGTGTTTCCCTCTGACAATCATTTTAATATGTTAAAATGAATGGAAGCGATTTATTTAGGCAGTGGTGAGGGGCACTTAGGTCACCATGCTTATGTTCATTGGAAAATGTGTTAGTACTGCTGTGCTTTTGTATTTAAGATTTATTTATTTTTATTGCAAAGTCAGATTTACAGAGAGAAGGAGAGACAGAAAGATCTTCCATCCATTGGTGTTCACTCCCCAAGTGGCTGCAGTGGCTGGAGCTGAGCTGATCTGAAGCCAGGAGCCAGGGGTTTCTTCCTGGTCTCCCATGTGGGTGCAGGGTCCCTAGGTTTTGG